GGGGGGGGGGAATTAAGTCACCCCCAAAAAGACAGCCTAGCCATTTTTTCGGGGCTCAAAAAGAAAAATAAGACCTGGCCTAATTATATGAGAAACACAGTATATATATATGTATATATATTCATATAGATTGTGCTATGTAAATTGCATAAGCATAAGAGCATGCATAAGTGCACCAACGTGTCTACCGTCCCTGTCCTATTGTTTCTTTTATTTTTTTATTTTTCTTATATGTATCCATGTATTCATAACTATGTTTTTACTTATACCTATTATCTTGTAAGCAATTGACAAAAATAAATAAATAAAATAAAATAAATAAATGTAAATAGATATTAGACATTGCCATGAGAATGCTTCAAGAGTAAAGAGAAATTTTACAGTCTTGAACTCTGACTTGCAAAGGATCTTTTTCCAGAGTTCATATCTACATTTTTTTTCCAGAGTTCATATCCGTATTTGGTTTGAAACAAAACCAAAGTTATTTATATAGTACTGAATTGTTGCCTGCAGTATAGTCCGCAAATAATTATTTTTGAAAACTGCAGTATAAGGCTGTGTAAATGCAATATTTGCTTATAGTTGCTAAAGTGATAGGCAGAATCACGTAACTGAACATTTTTCAAACTAATTAATGATCAGCTGCAGTGTGGTGCTTGTGGATAGATGTTTCCATTTTTTAAAATGAAAAATATGGGGAAGGCATTGAAAACTTACAGTGAACAATATAGTTGTCAGGCTATACTATAAGATTTTATGACTGAAGCATGACAATTATAAGAATGAAAGACTTATCTGGAAGTATCTAGACATATTTACCTAAAAGAACTTACTTTTCAGAATTTTAAGGATTCCACTATATTCTTCTGTTTGTTTCCACCTTGGTTTTTCTCCCCCTCTCTCTTTAGGATGATGAATCCTTTTGTTCAGCGTGCTTTTTATCCATCACTCTTTCTTCTGTTAGATTAATCAGCTCTGTCATATTCCTGTGTTGAAACAGTTTCATATACTAACACTGAGGTCAGAATGGCTATATCAACATTCAAAATCAAGATAGGTTTGCAGAAATTCAAAAAAGCTGAACTTGATAATCTTTGGGGTTTCCCCAAAAATGACTTCATTTTTTCCCCATAAAGTTTTTTTATTTTTAAATATATATCAATATTATTGCATGGACAGTGTGGTGCTGAGTGTCGTTCATTTTAATACAAAAATAATAGTGATACAGATGAAAATTACTACATTAATCAAACTTATGTAGTTGTAATGTTATTATACATATTTATGTCAGCACCTAGTCCTTCATTCTTCAGTTATTCAATATTTGCTACTTCCTTCTAATAGTAATAACATTATTCTCGAGCATACCTGATATCACCCTTTTTCAAAATCTGATCTTAACCTCTACCATTCACTTTAAATGTGTTATGCAAAAATATGTATAACAATATTCTCCCATTCTTAATTTCTTAATCTATTCTAATTCTTAGTACAGCCAATCTTGTTTTTAAAAAATGATCCTTTCTATCCATCATCTCTCATTCTCTTGGAAGTTTCACTTCTTCTCTTTTTAACTTGACTCCCATGCTCCTCCCTTTGATCCTTATCTACATCTTTCATATTCAACCCAACCATTATTTTCATCTCCACTATTTTTGCTGCCAATCCACCTATGAATCTGCCAAATCCTCTGTCTTTTTTCCAAAAATATCTTCCGATTTATTCAGTTCCATTTTTCTACTTCCTAATATATATTCTCCCAACTTTATTTCACCCAACTTTATTATCTCCTCCTTCTTTTCTCCTTGTTCTATTTGTTGCGTAGTCTGTTCTAACTCATCCTCTAAGCTTCCAGTTATCTCCCTTGTTTCCTCCATTTTATCATCTTGATTCATTGTTCCTTGTTGCATATTTTCAGTCTTTCCCGTTATGTCATGTAACAAATCTTTTATCTCCCTGAAATTTCCCATCTTAAAACCTTTGAAGTATCAACAGTTTCTTTTTGAAGTGCCTCCAATTCTTCCTGATGAGCCATCTGATAGTCCAAATATTATTTAATGTTCTGTCAATAACCTGTCACTGCTCAAGAGTCTATTCTTTTTGACCTCCAAAAGCCAACAAGTGTGTGTGTGTGTGTGTGTATGTGTCTGCTTGTGGTAGTTGGATGGATTCCACGGTTTGGAAGGGTAGGGGTTGGGGTGAAAGTAGGGGGAGAGAAGTGAGCAATCGGCAGGCAATACCATCTTGCTCATGATAGACAAAGGAATAATGGTGCAAGTCTGCAGGAGGGCCAATCACAAGGATGGAAGGACCCATGGCTGAGATCACCCTCACTTTTCACCCTTCCTAATTAACTTCTGATGCCAGGCCCTTGGATATTGGCTGGCCCCAGCTCTAATTGCTGTTATTAAATGCTAGATCAATGCTTAATAAGATTTCCCTTACCCATAGTTTGATTTTGGATTGGGTAGCTGACCTGGCATGTTTCATGCAGACAGAGAAATACTGAAGGGAAACAGGATAGCAATATATGTTACACTCCAAACAAAAGTATAGCCATTTTTATGATTCATCTGCTATATGCTTAAAGTGGATCCAGCATGTAAGCAAGTCAGGAAACCACACAGAGCGTCAGGTGAAGTTTGCTGAAGATCATGGTAACAGCATGATAACCACAGCAGAGCGCAACGAAAGTGACTAATTTTTGCCATACCTAAAGTCACTCTGGGTAATGTGTCTCTGAATCCACCCAGAAACAAATCTTTGTATTGTTAAATGAGGCCCTAAAAGGAATTTTCTTCTGTCTCCAGACCAACTTCTCCCAGTGCCCTAACCATGGAATATTACCTCTTTTGAATTAAACATTTTAATCAATTTTCAGTTAATAATGGATTCCTGCAAATAGTATAACTCTTTATACATCTTTCATTTCTAATTTTGCCTTACTCTGATTAATACTGATGGAAGAATATTTATCTCTTTATAATTTCATGTTCAATTTTTATATAATTTGTATTCTATAAATTCTGAGGAACATACTAAATTGGAGCCAGCATGGTACAGTAATTGTGAATTGCCCATGTTTGCTATGTTTTCAATCTTTTTACGAGGTAAAATTTCACCTGTTTAGACTCAGAAGCTAAGCAAAGAGACATCTGGTTAACACTATGATTAGAGACTACTAGGAATTATACCAAAGCTGTAAGATGGACAAAAAACACATCAACACGAAGCCAAGAAAACAACATCAACTATGTTGCCATCAGAAGTCATGTTCAACTTGGAAACTTTATTTTTAACTTGTTGAAACAAAACAATAATAATTGATAACAAATATAATTTATTTATATATAGCATGAATCATCTGTATACTACTAAAACTCTCACCATGACCTTTAATTGGGAACAACTATGTATCTTAGGACATAGGAGGGAGGAAAGTGAGAGATGGGGAGGAAGGCAGGGAGTGAAGAAAAGAAAGAAGGGTGGAAGGAAGAAAGAGAGGGAGGAGGGAGGGAAGTAAGGGAGGGAGGGAGGAAGAATAGGAAGGCAAGAAGTAAAGAAATTTTATGTGGCTGTCTGCCAGATTCTCACAAGGAAACTCAATGGGAAAGACAGAAGGACGTCAAAAGTGACGCCCTTTTCCACTGCTTTTTTGCTCATTCACAATAATTCTGTTTCTCTGCTTAGGTAAGGAAATATCTCTGAAACAATGACCCAATGGGATACAGGTTGTCTAGTAGCATTTAATATGAAAACATATTTTCTTCCAATTCTGTGTACTGGCAAGATAATGCATTTTAGATATGAATAGGTTAAGCACAATTATCAACCTTTGATCACCGGAACATGAGATTATTGAATATCTTCAACCAGTTAGTTTGATAGTTTATCTCCTCTTTCATGCAATGCTTCCTTTTTAACCTACAGAAGTA